ACCCAGGGACCTGGCAGGTATCGGGTCTGTCCCATCCCTGCTTCTGTCTGCTGGTCAGCAGTGTTCTTACCTGTCCACAGATAGTGGCCTAGATAGCACAGGCTTTCCTTCCCGTGGATAACTTGTGAGCTGTGTCTTGTTCAGTCCGAGATAAGAGGAAGGAGGCTCTGCGACCCCAGCTCAGATAAGAAAACCTGGAGTGGGACATTTGGATGATGTGCCCCCCACTAGGACAGATCAGTGGCCAAGAACCTCCCATGCTCTGATTGTCCTGGTGTAGCTGGGACCGTTCTTCCTTCCCGTGCAGACCAATCACTGGCTACAGAGCCAGATACGCAGGAAGATGGAAGCTGGAATGTCCCCAGCTTAGACTGCCACACCCATGGCATCATGTCCCCTAGCATTCTCCAGACGTGACCAGTTAAAAAGAAATATGACACTAGCGACAAGCTGCTTAGGGGTTTCTGGGGAAATTACCTTCAAAGACCCTGACAGCTTGCTCTTCTGACATCAGGAACGAGGGGAAATAACAGAAAAGGTCACGGGGAAGTGGGGAGACCCATCCGTCTCCTGCTGGACACCCTAGGAGAACTTTTTTTTTACTGTTTTATTTTTGAGAAACAGAGAAAGCACTGCTGGCCACCTTAAGAGAGGAAAATAATCAAACTAAATGAGATGATGCCTGTGACGTCCTTAGCATTTTTTCTGACACGAACTTGGAGACCAGTAGTATTCTTTTTTATGTTTATTATTCCATGCAGTAGATTCATTACAAAGAAACAAGTAGTCCTTCGTGGAAGTCATATGTAACATGATTAAAAATGCAACTTCTCTATAATCCTTGTTCTTTTTTTTGATTTTAGGAGGCAGAGGAAAGTCATAAGGCAGGTATAATTTCGTTCTGAAACTCTAACTGTATCTGTAAGTGTTAACACATTACCCTCCCTCAAAAAGAAAAAAAAAAAAAAGCCACATACAGACAGTACCCTGGGAAACACACGAAAACTTAAGCATCAGCTGGATTCCATTGATGCCGGTGGTATAGAGTGATTACAACTAAACTCCATGCCCAGATCTTAATCCCTTACTCAGGAAATGGGGGATCCTAGCTTCTTATAAAGACATCTTCACCGGGGCCTGAAATCTAAAAGAAGGCTTGGAGTAGCACCCCTGTGGGGCTGCCTCTGTACTGAAACGGTGTTAGGGGGCGGTTCCATCCCCTCCTCCCTGCCTTCTCCATGGTGAGCTGGGCCCCTGTCCTCCAGGTAGCCCTGATGTTCGCATCCACAGTTCACCAAGGAGCCCCTCAATGTGGCGCGCCTGGGAGAGGCCAGCCCAGGAACAGAGGCACCATCAGAGGCCTTTCTGTTTGGGAGCTGTTGCCGGACCCTGCGTGGACAAGACTGGAGAGGAGTGTCTCCTGCCTCTCCAGGGCTAGGCCAAGCCCTTCGGTTAAAACAATAAATATTTCGCAAAAGAACGCTTGGTCAGTGTTTCACTGCATAGTGAGCTACTATAGCGTGAAGAGCCTTGACCACAAGTCCTGACACGTACCTGAGTACATGTGCACGCTTCAGAGCCCTTAGAAGCAGACAACTCGTACACAGACAGTCACGGCCATCACCGCTTATTGATGCCGCTGACGTGGTCACCGAAGTATTGGGACCGTAGGTTCTGATTCCCCTCTTTGTTATTCGTATGATTGTGTGCCTTTCCAGACTGACAGTCACCCCACTGCCCCCCCCCCCCCAAGGAAACTGTCTCAGATGAAGGAAGTGCGGAGTGCTTGCACAGCTGGTTCTTAATCAGGATGTGAAACATGGCTGTGCTTTCCAGGGTCATCCAGTTGTGTTCACGGGGCTCACCTTTCCAATCCCAACCTTTTCTCATGAGCTGCTCTCCACCAGGCCGGGGGCACGGGATGTCCTGCATCTTTTTGATCTTTTGAGCCTTCCTGGTGTTTCATTATTGTTAGTGGATCAGCCAGGGTTTCATCTCAGAGACGAGCATGAAACCTCTCTGGCCACTCACGAGCTTGGGTTAATCCATCACGTCGAACGCAGTTTGGAGTCGTCTCTTTACCACCTGTTACCAGAGACTACGGGTTCCGAGTCATCCTCTGTGTTGTCACTTTTAGGGGATTATTTGGCTTGTTCACATTTCTTTGCATCTCTCTTTTGCTACCTCAGAGATTG